TAGAATTGAAGTTCAATCATTTCGGTAATTTTATTGTTTTTTTATTGGAAAAACAAAGAATGTGCAAACATTTAGTTTTGGATAATAATTCAAAAGATAAAAATTTATATATTTTATTTTCTTTTAAGGTATTAGTATTATTAAAGTTTTTTAGTTTCTTTTATATAAATAATTACAATAACCTTTTAACTAATAAAATTTAAATATTCTAGATGTCTCTCCATAATTATGATGATATTCTTGATGTTTAAGGATTTTAAATAATAAAAAGCCTCATTATCTTTTGTTTTCAACTGCAGTAAATGGTATCAAATCGCAACTTTTCATGTGGTTTTATGTTGAGCTGTTTGATTGCCATAGCTAGAGGTCGTAGATGACATGTTTATGATGAAGGGTGATTTCTTACGAAGGAAGTCTTGTTCCAAAAACATTACATACAATTAGACATGTTCATGGAGGGGGAGGGGGAGGATGGTTTCTAGATGAGGAGGGTTTGCCCTAAAAACACTATATTCAATAATTGATGATTTGCAAAAGTAGATTGCAGAATTATATTCAATAATTGATGATTGATGATTTGCAAAAGTAGATTGCAGAGTTGCCCGTCTTTTGATGGATTAAGATCTACTAAGATAGTCTACATGTTGATGTGAGAACTCCTATTAGAGCGCAATCGGAGAAGACATTCTCGTATTTGAGATGATTACCACTACAATTTAGATTTTTACTAGAACTCCTATAGATTTCAATTGACTTCACGAGGTAGAAGAAAATATGACCTTTGGTGATCGATAGACGTCTTCATGAGTAACTCAAATATCGGAGAGAATCCAATGCTCCAAAAACTTAAGGATTCCTCCGCAAAGTTTGTTCACGGAGAATAAGTCAGGGTCTAAAATCAGATCAAAAGACGTAGTCCATGTACAACAGGTGATTATTCTTGTGCTACCCCTTATTGATCCTGAGGAACAGAGAAGGCTAGGTTAGCCGAAAGATGGTTATCAGTTCATGTACGCATGATATCTCTATTTTTTCAGGGTAAGAAGAGATAAAAAAAATGCTTCAAGCCAATGTTTGAGTACCAAGCATTATAACACTGAAATAACCCATGTTATACTTCCAAAAAAAGCTCGAAGGATCTTTAATAAAAAGGTACTTGTATCCGAAACGTTGAATTTTTTTTATCAACATATGTTAAATCAATTTATAATATTTATTTTGATAATAATTTTAATGTTAATTATGATATAAATAATGATAATAATAGCAACAATAATATTATCAATGACAAACTAAAAGTTTGAGGGTAAAGATAGCACAAAAATACTCAACAAAATAAAATTATTGATTTAGGTTTTGTTGATCATTTTAATTATAATTTTTTTATTATCATAATATATATATTTGTTCAAGAATTATATGGATATAACATATGTTTATAAAAGAAAACTCAACTTTGCAATTCATTACTCTAAAAACCTATAAAAGATAAATAGTTTTTTAATGTTTCTCATATATAATTTAACATGAAGGGACTGGGGCTGATATTTAAAATTTATTATACCCATGAAGCAAGGAAAAAAAAAGCTATTAAAGTCTTGATTAGACAATACAAGATTGAAACAAGAATAAATTAAACTTGATGACAAGCTTTTTTTTTCTTACTCAATTTAGGAATTTTATTTAGTATTATTAGGATTTTCTAATTTTTTTATCTAAAGAAAATGATTTTATTCAGTATTATTAATTTTTTTTATATTTTTTTGAAAAGTATTTTTGATATCTCCCTATGATTATAAGATTCTTCATGAAGTTTTTTTTTTATTTTTTTGAAAAATTATTTTTAATATCTCCCTATGATTATAAGATTCTTCATATTAAGATATTTGTTTTAAAATGCATCATTATTTCATCAATAATTATTTAGAATTGATTCAATGATAAAGAAAAAAAAAAAGAGACGTGAACTAAGTGGGCTTCTCACGGTAGACGTGGGAAAAAAATATGCATAGTTTGGATAAGCTGCAAAAGAAGACAAGGATTTATTTATTTATTGGAACAAAAGATATTTAATTTGATTTTTATTCGTGACTCAGACATATCCTCCAATACATCTCACCTGAGAGTCCAATTTTTCGGATGGGGGCTTTGTCATCGTGTTAGGTGGAATAGCCTGGTAGGCCTGCACCACCCAAACAATACTGCCCATCATTAACACTATTATTACAATATGGTACCATGCTTTCTAATAATAATAATAATAATAAGAAAGAACCTCATCTATTTCTTTATTTCGTAGCTTAAAATGTTTGATTTCTTCTCTCTTTATTTTTATTTTTTGTTTTATAATCTTGGATTTAATCCTTAATTTGGAATTCTTAATCCCATTATTATGTGCATGGATATGTTTTCTTCATTTCTTGATATCCAATAGCTTTACCAACGTAAAGTTTCAAGCTCTTCCTTTTAATGTATTATTAAGATTGCTAGAAAATAAGACTTATTTCTAATAAATGTATAAGCTATTGTAAAAAAAATGATATTCATATTATTAATTTATTTTTTTGGCATAATGGACCACGTTGCCGTTCAAATATAAAATCTCTATTAACTTTTTTTAATCTTTATAAACATTATTCTTTTCACTATCTCAAGCTAGTTCAAAAAGATTGTGGTTTTGGGTTTTGTTTGGTCTAATAATGATGAGGAATTTACAGGACGAATTAGTTCAATTCACACGTGAAAAGTAGAAGAAGATCTTGATTTCGTGGAAAATATCAAGACGTGATTTTTTTTTATTAAGATTTGAGTTATAAAAAAAAATTCGGTTAAAAAATAGCTGTAATATTATTTTCTTGTGTTAATATACAATTTTAATCCAAAATTTTTTTTTTCAAATCTTTTACTTTGCCAAAAAGTACAAATTAGTTAAATATTTATAGTGTTCTGTAACATAAAATACAAATATATTTAATTGTTGAGATAGAGATAAAAATGTATATAAAAAATTTGTCATGAGATGATTTTAAAATGAAAGACACTTTTTTATTTTTTTTATCTCTTCTATATAATTTAATTTAACACGGAATAATGAACAAAAAAAAATATTAAAGCAAGAAAGAAATAACTTTTTTTATAAAAAAGTTAAAAATTAAAAGTAAAAAAAAACTAGGAAGAAAAGAGAATTCAAGAAAAAATTTTTTTTGTCATTTTCAACCTAGAAATTTTCACAAGTCCTCATAGATTATATAATTGTAAGAATAATTAAAAACTCAAAGTTCTTATATCAAAGTTAATGCCAAACAATGAATAAAAAATAAAAGTAGGAAAAAAGAGCTTAAAATAAACTAAGAATTAAAAGAAAAGAAGAAAAAAAACCAAAAAAAAAAGAATTAAAAAAGAAATTTTTTTTTTCTCTGAATCAATTGTTTCTAATGATCATTTTAAAGACTTTCACAAGCCCTAATAAGTCATTTAATTATAAAAATAATTAAAAATTCAAAGCTTTGATATCAAAGTTAATGCCAAACAATGAATAAAAAATAAAAGTAGGAAAAAAGAGCTTAAAATAAACTAAGAATTAAAAGAAAAGAAAAAAAAACCAAAAAAAAAGAATTAAAAAAGAAATTTTTTTTTTCTCTGAATCAATTGTTTCTAATGATCATTTTAAAGACTTTCACAAGCCCTAATAAGTCATTTAATTATAAAAATAATTAAAAATTCAAAGCTTTGATATCAAAGTTAATGCAAAAAAAAAAAATTAAAACAAGAAAGAAAGAAGATTTTTTTAAAATAAGAATTAAAAGTATAGAAAAAAAACCAAGAACAAAAAATCAAAAAAAAAATCTATCATTTTTTTCAATGATATAATAACGAAACAATTCTCGAGCATGGGTATTAGATAGATGGTGTTGCTATCATATAATCTGATCCTCAAACTGACAAAACAAAAAGAAAAAAGAATTTATGTTTGCCATAATTGTCATATCGTTGTCACCTTTTGTTTCTGTGCTCCAAGACTTTATTTAGTTTCCACTCCCACCTACCACGAGACATGAAATTTAGAACAAAGTAAACGGTGCTCGATAGAAATGACATCGGGAGGTTGAAAAATTCAACTCAAGATGGTCAAAAAAATCAATTAATAAGATAATTTACCAAGAATAATTATGATAATTGAATTACAAAAACATTATAAAACCAAAGACAAAAAGGTTTTATCTTCCATTCAACGTTATTGATGTCTATTATGAGCACATTAGCCGGCGATGATAATGCTTGTATTATCTTAGACACATAATTTATAATGTACCTTTTGATTTTAATAACTAATAAATATGAAAGTGAGATCATAGGGTTCTTCATGAGCAACACATAGGAAGTAGTTGATTGTTTTTCATTCTTGGATCAAATCTTATACATTGAAGAAGAAATAATGAATCTTTAGCAAATAATTTATATTGTGTGAATGAATAAGAGAAATTGATTTATATTAATATTTGATCCATTTTAATTCAAAATAATAATGTAAAAACATATTATAATTATTTAAGTTGTGGAATAATTTGTTTCCCGAACATATTTATTACATCAATGAATATTATAGCTATTATGAACTTGGCTAATTAATTTACCCCGTAGCTTATATTAGGTTTAAAAAAAATTGTTTGAAAGTAGATGATACAATATGACTTAATTATACAGTTAAAACTGATTTTTTTAATATAAATAATATTTTTTAATTTAAAAAATTAAAACAATATTATTTTTATTAACTGAAAAATCTAATTTAACCTGATCCGTGACTTCAGTTTAATACATTGAAGATATCTATTTTTTATCCTTAAAAAAAACAAAAACAAAAACAAAAAGAAGCCTCACATAGAATAATATTTTGCCTGCCATATTGGTGGAGAACGTTAGGTTGGCCAAATGTGTAATTCAAACAAAATACAAGGTCAAAGTGTTTAGGAGGACAAAACACTCCCCAGTTGAAGATACCTTAAACCAGTTCCTCCTTCCTCTTGTCATTGCTCTGCTCTCCGTCTCGTTTTCCTTCTCTGCTCAATTTAAGGGAGGAGAAAGAAAGATAGAAAGACAACATAAAAGTTTCAATCTTTAAAGCTCTGAGCTTCCTTAAAAACCAAGACAACATAAAAATGGCTTTCGAAAAGATCAAGGTTGCTAACCCCATCGTTGAAATGGATGGTAAGTCCTTTGTTTCTTTGCTCATTTGACGATCAAATCAGTTTTATCTGTTTTTTTTTTGTTCTTGACGAGTGAAAGTCTAGATTTGGATTGGTTGTTAGTGATTTAGTAGTGTTATGAAGTGAGCATCCTTGCTTTTGGAGATTCATGAAAGTTTGGATCTTTAAGTTTCTTTGTCCGAAAAAAGTTGGTGGGGGCATGGCTAGGATCTGATGTTGAATCTGGGTTTGATTGATCTCTGTATTTGAGATCTAGGTTTTACTGGAATCTTCATTTGTTGATCACAAAGACAGTCCTTTTCTTTCTGTGTTCTCATGCTGTGCTTGTTTGTTATTGTGATGACACAGGAGATGAAATGACCAGAGTTTTCTGGCAATCAATAAAGGAAAAGGTGATTTTAGTATTTGTTTGTACATTTATGATCTTGGATTGCTGGTTGGTGAAGGTTTGAGTTAATTGATTTAATTTGTAATGCTGCTTTTGTTGTGATGATGACAGCTTATTTTCCCATTTTTGGATTTGGATATCAAGTACTTTGACCTTGGCCTTCCTCATCGCGATGCCACTGATGATAAAGTCACTATTGAAAGCGCAGAAGCTACTCTTAAGTGAGTGTTTTGGACATTTCTATATAAATTCCTTCAGATCAAAAAATGTTATGTTTAAGCTCCTAACATTGATCGATCCTTCTTTTCACATTCATGAGTATTTTGGTGTACATAATAGGTTATTAGTATTAAACTATTGAAGGTTTGACATGGCTCTGATCGTATTGGGGCCTAATTTTATTAAAACTCAACTCTATCTAGGTACAATGTAGCAATCAAGTGTGCAACTATTACTCCAGGTATGCATTCATTTCTCTTGGGGTGAACGTAATGAATATTAGGCTCATATGGAAATATTTTTTTCCGAAAATATCCATACACAAATCTTATATTCAATTTGCAATTGACAGATGAAGCTCGTGTCAAGGAGTTTAAATTGAAGCAGATGTGGAAGAGTCCAAACGGAACAATTAGGAACATTTTGAACGGTCAGTGGAGTTGCACTTGAGGCAGGCTATGTGTCTATGTAAAAATTCCTTCGTATTTTGCTCCAATAACATCATTGTTTTCTGCAGGTACTGTCTTCAGAGAACCAATTATTTGCAAAAACATTCCCCGCCTTGTCCCAGGTATTTCCATTTTCTTAATATAGCAGCTGAACACTTTCTGTGGTGGACTGGGCTTTAATGATTTTTGCTGTTCTCAGGTTGGACAAAGGCAATTTGCATCGGAAGACATGCTTTTGGTGATCAATATCGGGCAACTGATGCAGTCATCAAAGGAGCTGGCAAACTCAAGCTAGTGTTTGGTAAGCTTTTTTATCGACTCAGCTTTTCTTCAGAATTGTACTGATTAATTTCCCATTTGTTGGTCTTTTCTCATTTCTCATTTATCTTTCAATCTGCAGTGCCAGAAGGACAGGATGAGAAGACAGAGTTGGAGGTCTACAACTTTACAGGTGCTGGTGGGGTGGCATTGGCCATGTATAACACTGATGAGGTACGGCTCTGCAAATTCTCTAATGATTGTCATGACTGAAATGCAGAAAAACTAATTTTCTTTTTTATTCTTGAACCTGAAATGCAGTCCATCCGTTCTTTTGCTGAAGCTTCTATGAACACTGCTTACCAAAAGAAGTGGCCACTTTATCTCAGCACAAAAAATACTATCCTTAAGAAGTACGATGGAAGGTATGGCACTTTCATCACTAGTATACCTTTTAGAACTTTATACTTGGCTTTCTTGAACCTACCTGCATTATCATTTGGTTATTTAGCTGATATATCATCGAGTTTTTGTTCTATTAAATGAAGATTCAAGGATATCTTTCAAGAAGTCTATGAGGCTAACTGGAAATCAAAGTACGAGGCTGCAGGAATATGGTGAGCGACCTAGTGTCTTATGCTTGAAATGATGTTTTTTTTGGCTGCATTTGTATTTATTAATAACTCGGATGGTTGAATTGTAAGGTATGAACACCGACTCATTGATGATATGGTTGCATATGCTCTCAAGAGTGAAGGAGGTTATGTATGGGCATGCAAAAACTATGATGGGGATGTGCAGAGTGATTTCTTGGCACAAGGTATGTGAAACACTGTTAACACCTGGAATATTCATCGCACCAAAACTTTCACAGTGTGCTTATCTTATCCATCAGAATTTGGATTGAATTTGGCTGCTATATTAATTATTCATCCTGGTAGCATTTGGTTCTGGGCATGGAGTTCAGTGCTGATATCTGGCTGTATTTTTACAGGTTTCGGATCTCTTGGCTTGATGACCTCTGTATTGGTATGATTGTAGACCTACTTTCTTGTATTATTTTTTCAGTTGCCGATTGTTTCATTTTTGATAGTTGTCTCTGTCCCTCTGTGTTCTCCCTGTACTCCTGCAGCAGAGTAATGCTCTTTCTTTTAATGAAACTGTCTTCCTTTTCTCTGTTTAAACTACTTTTTACATGCATAAAGCATTGGTCGAAGCAGTTTTTAAGCATTGTTAATTTTCACATGCAACAGTTAATAACGTGTTCAAAGTGTATGATCTAACTAATGTTTAGTTACAAGAAATAGGTTATTGCTAGTGTGGGAGGGAGTGATTTGCACAGAGAAATTGCAGTAACATCTAAGAGATTAACATATTGTTTGCGCTCATCTTTGACTTTGTTGAAAGTTGTATGTTTCAGGTATGCCCTGATGGAAAGACCATAGAGGCCGAGGCAGCCCATGGTACAGTTACTCGGCATTACAGGGTTCACCAGAAAGGTGGTGAAACCAGCACAAACAGTATTGCCTCTATTTTTGCTTGGTCAAGAGGACTTGCCCACAGGTATATATTTATGATTTTGCAAATCTATACTATTGGTCTTGAAGCATCTAAGCATGCTGGAAGCAGTGGTCAAGAATTGAAACGTATTTTTCTTTTGTCCAGGGCTAAGTTGGATGATAATGCTAAACTCTTGGATTTCACTGAGAAACTAGAGGCAGCTTGCGTTGGAGCTGTGGAGTCTGGCAAGATGACCAAGGATCTCGCATTGCTTATCCATGGATCTAAGTAAGCACCATCATTATAAAAGTGCTTTCTGAATGTTATCAATGTCCATTCTCTACTTTATATGATGTTTACGTGTATAATATTCTTCTTGTGTGTGATGCAGGGTTAGCAGGGACCAGTACCTCAACACCGAAGAGTTCATTGATGCTGTGGCCAAGGAGCTGAAAGCCAGGCTTTCTGTCAAGGCATAATTGTATGTGATATTCACCAACTTGGCTTGACAGTAGAATGATTTTAACGCTGTGGTTTCTTCATTGCCCTTAATGCTCATCAAGCTGGAGTGTCTTTGCTAAAAAAGGATAATGAACATAGGCTCGTTGGAATAATTAATTTTGTCATCAACTTGAGTGCTGCCAAATCTCTAGTTGCCAGAGAACATCAGATTTTAGCTTCCTGTTCTTTAGGAGGTGTAATGCAAAAGTTATGTCATAACCTACCGCACCTCACAAACTTTCACCGTAGTTTACTGTAACTCATGGATGCAATCCGACCTCAGCTGAGAAGTGGATATTAGTATCTCCCTGACAAGTAAAGTGTTAGCAAGAGTTGCTGCATTTCATGTTTATTCTTTGACTTTTCAATGATTTAGGACGCTTTGGTGTTGTGTACAGGACTTGGTAGGCAAAGTGAGCAGTGAAGTAAAGCTTGATTCGAGCTTCTTATCGGAAACAAATAAAGGAGAGGAGAAAGAAGGAAGAAAGGGGATGATTAGAGAATTCATGAATTTAATCAACTCAGCTTTATTTTTCCTCTCATCGATCTCTTGTTTGATTCAGCTTCATATCATTTCAATTTGACTCTTTTTTGCCAGCAACTTACTATAACGTGTTTTTGATCCTATTCTCTGCTTACTTGCGTTTAGGGCTGCTTTTTTCTTCTTGATCTCTCGGAAGGAAAACAAGAAAAGGACACTCATGGCCAATATGCTGTGGACGAAAGGACAATTAAAATTAAATAAGAATTGTTATATAAGGACGCTCATGGCCAATATGCTGTGGACGAAAGTACAGAATTAAAATTAAATAAGAATTGTTATATAACCCCACTTTATATTTTTGTTATTAAATAAATGATTTTGATGTGGTTTGTTTCTTTACTAGGGTTACAATTCCTCAATTAAATCTCTAATCAAACTAAGAAACTTGAAAAATAAAGAAAAAACAATAAGATTTTAAGCAAAACTTGAAAAATAGTATATTAATCTCAAATCAAAATAAAAAAATTCTAAATAAATTCGGAAATGTAGCAAATTTTAAATTATAATCTTTTAGTTTAATTTGAAGGCTTTTATAATCTTTGATGGATATAAAATCTTAGTTGAAGAACACATTCGCAGGAGAAGGGCACTCCGACACTGGAGTGAAGGAGATGGTTGTTTTTAATTTTTTTTTAAAATATGTTAAAATAAATTTTTGAATAGTTGTTTTTTAAAGTTTTTGATTTAAAAATATATTAAAATAATGTATTTTTAATTATTTTAATATTATCATATTAAAATAATTTAAAAATATATAAAAAATTAATTTAAAATAAAAAAATTAATTTTTTTAAAATATAAAAATAAATAAGACATAAGAGTTGACTATCATTTATATTTCATGATTTTTTTAAACTGATAAATTATTCCTTTTGTCATCTCTCTTGTCCATAGTGTTGTGCTATTCAACAGTGTTTGACATAATTTATTTTATTTTTAAATATTTAAAAATGTGTTTTTGGCTTGAAAAAAATTAAGTTGATATTATTAAGTTAATTTGATTAATTAATTTATTTTTGTTATTTCACTATTTTTTTCAATTTAATTTTTCAATATTAAATTAATTTAAAATTAAACTATATAATTTTTTATTTGTTTTTTATGTGATTATTATAATCACATGACTAAAGTTATATGTTAGAATGGTTAACTCAATTTTTTTTTTGGTATTGAATTGATTAAAAAATATAATTTATAATTTTTTTATGTTTATATTCTACAAAGTTATCTTAGTTTTATAACTTGGATTATCAGCTTGATTGGTTGATTTAGATGGTTTTTTATATTTTTAATTTTATTCTTTAACATTGAGTTGATCGAGAATTAAATTTTATAATTTATTTTCTATGAAATTATTTTAATTTTATAATCTAAGTTTTACATGTTAATTCAAGTTATGTTAATTTATTTTTCTAATTGAATTTTTTTTAATTTTATTATTTATTAGATTATTTAAGATGAGTTTTTATATATAAAATAATTAAAATTATATTATTTTAGTTTCTACAAAATCAATGTTTGAAACGTAATTATCTTAAGGCTTAGAGGAAGAAACATGAACTATTTGGCGACAATACTATCTTTTAAGTGTTTGTATTCAGGTCTGTGGAAACTCATGAATGAGTCATTGCTGTAGGTTTGAAATTCTTAATGACTGTTGTATCATTGAAACATAAGGTTGGTTTTTTTCTTTTAATATCCAAAGCCAGGATTATGCTGTTTTCAATCTCTGTGAATATAAATCCCAAATGAAAAAAAAAAATCAGTATTTAGAAGGACAAGTTTATATGTTAAGCATAAATATTTAGATGATCACACACAATATTCAAAAAAGTTAAGTTAAATACAATATCTAGATGATCACACACAGTATTTCACATAAAACTGAGTGGCAGCCATCGGGAGCAACTCCAGGAATATCGTAAAAATTAGAACACGGCATAGGAACGAGAAACATGGCAGCAACAAACAATGAAAAACCATGGAAATCACCAGCAGGAACTACGAGAGCAGCAACATGGAACAAATTGAAGTCCCCGAATAACCATCAGCAGAAACCCTGTGAAAGCTGGGGAAAAAATCAGACAAACATAGAATTTAATAATGATTTAGCAAGTCAGATTTTCTGAATGAATTAGTTAACTTTTAATTACGATGTAATATCGTGATATACTCTGTCTTGTTCTTCTGCCCTGGCAAAGCTGATAGAGTTCCATTTGAGATCAACTCGCGGACATGACACAAGCCAACATGTTCCAAGTCGTCGTTTGGATTTGATGATTGTATGAGTCCATGTGCCATCCGAGATTGCACCAGCAAGAGATCCAGGAACTTGGGTTCCCTGTAAATAGAAGTTGACATAGCATTATAACTGCTTAGGTTCTTTAAAATGCAGACTGCAGCCTTCAGCCTTCACCACAGGGCCTTGGACAGGAGTTGGAACTGTCTGTGATCTGTTTATAATATTGCATGAAGAATAATCATCCATTCATCATTAAGTATTAGAGCAAGCATGAGGTGATAAAAACCAACTGTTCATCAATTTATTCATCATTAAGTATTAGAGCAAGCATGAGGTGATAAAAACCAACTGTTCATCAATTTATCAATGGCAAAAAATCACAAACAACTAGCAAAGAAAACAAAAGAAGGAGAAATTAAACAAGGCAGACACATCGAGCCTCAAGATGATCTTTGCTAGCAACTAACTATTGTAGAAGATCTTAGCCGACAGGAACCTCACTGCAAGAAACTAAACCAAAGGTCAACAGTGAGAGAGAAAATTCCGTAACTAGCAAAAGAACTGAACGACAACATCATGAACAAATCCAGAAATATTGTAAGCAATTAGGCAAGTAAATCACCAGCAGTGATTACGAGAAAAGCACACAGAGAATGGAAATTAATCCCCAGCAAACATTCTTCTTCTTTATTTGAAAAAGCTAGAGTATCAGCAACAACATCGAACAAATTGAAGTCCCTGGATAACCATCAGCATTAACCCCATTAGAACTTAAACGATGAAAGAAATTGAAGAATCGAATAAAACGTGAAACCGAACATGATAATATTAAATCTCATAATTTGTACCTGATTAGATGTGTCTTCAATAGTCATCAACATCAACTTCAAGGATATGAGTGATCTTGGGCCAATCTTCTCCCGTTTCCCTTTGGCACCTTTTGCTCAACGTCGGACAATCTACAATTTGAAGATTTTGAAGTTTCTTTAAATTACCTATGCAATCTGGCAATTCTTTAGTGTTTGGACAACCTTTGATTATAAGTTTTCGTAAAGAGTCCGTATGATTGAACACTCATTTTGTGACAAGGATGATGCAAGATCATGCATTTTAAAGGAAACAACAAACATCTCATCCACATAATCCTGGAAGAAACATGTTGAGAACAACTCGCGCTCATAACGCAAGTAAAATCTTCCGAGTTCTCATTTGGATGATGATTGAATTAGTCCACGTGTCATCCAATATTGCACCAATACGAGATCCATGAAATTATAACCTTTTGGAAAAACCGAACAACATAGAAAACATCTTTTCAAGTGAGTAGGCAGTCTTTGATAGCTTATTTTCAGGGCAGGTAAAATACCATCTCCCTTCTTCTTCCCACTTCTCACTGTCTCTCACCGATCCCCACTCTTTTTCATCAGTCTTACCATACATTTGAGTCCCCAAGTTAATCACTGCCAGAGGAACTTGCTTGCATTTTGCTACTATTTCTTTCCCAATCTCAACCAAATTTGGATGGAACTCCATTTGCCTTTCCTTAAATGCACACCTGCAAAACAACGACAGACAGTCTCTTGACCAAGAAGACTTAAGTTGGATGCAGCAACAGTACCCATAATCTCAGCAACACGTTCACTACTAGTGGTTACTATAATTTTACTTCCACCAGCACCTTTTGATAACAATGGCTTCAACAACAACCATTTTAGAGCATCTCCATTCTAAACATCATCCAAAAGAAGCAAGTAATTCCTACCGTTCAGAATTTCTTCAAGTTTTTGTATTAGTTTACCCCCATCCAAATCTGCACATCTTTCCCCAGTCGCAGATTTGATAATTTTTTGTGTCACTTGTTTTAAGCCAAAACCATCTGAAACACATGCCTCCATTTTCGGTTTAAAATGAGATTTTACAATTTCATTCTCGTAAACAGATTTGGCAAGAGCAGTCTTCCCCAATCCTCCCTTTCCAACTATCGAAAAGAGAAAGGGATGAGCATCATCAACATTAAAAGGTTCTACTAGCAGGTTGATGATGCGTTCTTTGTCTTCATCTCGTCCAATAAGACCAGAAAATCTCTCAAAGGATCGGTTCATCTCTGTTTCCTCATGACTATAATCATTAGTCTGCTCGCTGAGGTTGAAGTCACACTTAAGAGATGAAATCTCAGATAGTCTTTCTATGATGCTCTTTATCTTAAGACCCATTCTTAAACGAAATGCTATCTTATTAGAACCTGAAAACAAACGTCGTACCTTTCTGCTGGTACTTCCTGTACTTTTCACCACCTGCCTTCGCAAAGTTTCGCGCTCAAATTCGTCCAGCACGTCCTCCGCATCATACAAGACTTCTTTAAGATTATGGAGCCATAGACGAATCTTTTCAATTGTTGATTGTTTCTCGGCGTTGGACAGCACAGCGTTGATGGCTTTCAATCTCTTTTCAAGATGTGCAATGTCAGCTTCGAGCATCCATGCCAAACAAAGTTCTCCAGCAGCAACAGAGCCTAACTTCCCTGAAAGGGATTTTGCAATGTCAATTGCAAAAGCTTCTTCCATTTTCTTTATGAGAGGAGAGGAGAAGTGGTTGATAGGAATATGATTGAGATGAGAGTGAAGTTATGTTTTCACAAAGGTAATCCTCTTGATATGTAGCTACGAGTATCATCAATATCTAATATCCAAGTGAAGACAACACAAACGCCTGTAATTTTACTTTCTGACATTCCAGATAATTTATCTCTTACTTTGGAAACAAACTTCCTATGCATGTATCCTTTACCTGGAGCTTCTTGAGCAGCAAGCACAAGAGTACTAGAAAGAACGTTTGTACAAAAGCAAGTGATGATGCCTCTGTCAGAATCTGAGATGCTTTTGATCAAAGATTATCATGACCTATCCTACTTTAAAATCTGAAGAATTGTCAATAATGATAGTGTCATAGTGATGATGTATCACTGTTAATTAGTTTTAGTTAGGTGAAGTTGTTTGAAGTAACAGTACAATGAGTCTCCTTTATCATAAAAAGGACTAAAAAGTTCAAAAGAACAAATTTATATATCTATATGTATATATGCATATGTTCACTTGCTACACTGTGCTCTATATTCTGTATATATCAAATATAAGAGCAACAAGGGAGTCTGCCAATTTTGAATTAATTTTTTAATAGCTTGTTAATTCTTGATCAACGAATTCAGGACATTATTGTTTTTCAAGGTGGGGCAGAATGCTTGCATACTAGAGTGGACTGGCTGGATTGTATGTAAAGAAGATTACTGAACTTCGTTTGTTTGATAAGAAGAACTTCTATTTACAAGGGCTCTAAAAGGTAGTGTTTGTCCATACGCGAAGTTGCTTGATGCTACAATTTTTTTTATTAACAAAAAATGAAGATTTTATTAGAATTGCAATTTAATAATTCAAAGGAACTAAATATTTCAAATTAGAGATTGCTCTAGAGTTTTGTAATTGGTTAGTTGTGATTAATTTTAATTTTGATCAATGAAAAATTAATTTTAAATATTGAAAAATATTTTTCTACCAGCATCATTTAAATAAACATGATTTTGATAGAAAATAACAGTTTTAATTAAAATGATCTGAAACTCTTTTTTTTTTATCTCGATTGACATGATTTGACTTGTATTGACTCAATGAATATATTTTTGATTGAGAATGATAATTTTGACCCAAAATAGCTTTAAATTTATTTTTTACCCTGATCAACATGGTTTATTCCATATTGCCCTATAAATATGGTTTTGACCGAAATGACATAAAATTCATTTTTTACCTCGATCGACATGGTTTGACCCGCATTGCCTCATATGATTGGTTTCATTGAAAATGATAGTTTCAACTTGAATTAGTCTAGAACTTAAATATTTTTTACCTAATGACATGGTTTGACCTGTATTATCTAGTGGGATTGGTTTTCATTAAAAATGATAGTTTTGATATAAAATGGCTCAAAACATATTTTTTTATCTTGATCGACACCGTTTGACTTGTATTTATTCAATAAACTCATTTTTTATGGAAAAAGGCAATTTAACTGAGAGAAAAATATTTTTAAACTTTAAATTGTTTCTTAACTTTTTCTGGATTTTTCTAAATAAAATAATAAACAAATTTTTTTGGAGAATCCAAAATTAAATCATTATAGTTGTTCTCTTTTTAAAATATTTACAATATGAAGTCTTGAAAAAAACTTTGCATTGTATGTTTGTAAGGAAAAGAAAACAATGGAGTTAACAAAGGATCTATATACTTGAAAATGAGGTAGTAATGATCCTCTCAAATCTACTTGTATAGACACAAAATCATATAATCTCAGCTATTCTTCCTGATGGAAAAACAAAATGAGAAAAGAATAAATTTTATGGGTGACTTACTCATATATTAAAAAATACAAAAAAAATTTAATTAATTTATTTTTATGAACGACTTATTTAAATAAAAAATATAAAAATATTTTTAATATCAACCCTATTTTTCAAGTAACCTAAATTTTTGTAAAATATATTTAAGAGATTTCAACATTATTTTATAAAATACATGAAAAGGATTCACCAATGCCTTTATATATTTCTAATACTTAAAAAAATAAATCTGAGGAGCTGTTCCGAAGAATAAAAAAAGTAATGTGCCAGCATGGAATCCATACAAAGAAAAAATAAAATACTGATAGTTCATTCCAACAACAGCTCCTGCTGATTCCAAAGAACGTTCTTATTAGCATGATGAAGCGGGTAAATTGAAAAACAGGAGAGCCAGTTGTATTGGACAAAAGTCAAGATGGTATTGGTAGCTAGCAGGGAAGCCACCACCATCAATGTATCATCTTCAACACCTTCTTTATATCGCGAGGAATATGACTGTATATGCACAACTATTTAGACCAACATTGTTTTTTGTTTTTTATTTTTAACTACTTAGGCTGACCAGTGACCGTCCTTTCCTTTTCATCACTATATAAACCTACCCATGGTGTCACTTCCCTCACTCATCTTCATTCCTGACTTCTTCCTATTTCATCAACAGTACTGAACATTTCTCTTGATCACCAGCCATGGTTATCTCCAAGACAGCTTCAGAATCTGATGTCTCCGTTCACTCAACCTTCGCCTCGAGATATGTCCGAGCTTCACTTCCGAGGTACTTGATCATGTATTTTCTTTATTTACTGTTCCATTTCCTTCAAATCAGCTATGTAAAATGGAGTTTCTTTATTTTTTTTCACTTTTGGATAGGTTCAAGATGCCAGAAAATTCGATCCCAAAGGAGGCAGCCTTTCAGATCATAAACGACGAGCTCATGCTGGATGGTAACCCTAGGCTTAACCTAGCGTCATTTGTGACCACATGGATGGAGCCTGAATGTGATAAGCTTATCATGGCTTCGATCAACAAAAACTACGTTGACATGGATGAATACCCTGTCACCACTGAGCTTCAGGCAAGTCATCACCTCCACACACACACCCCATATATATTTTTTTTCAAAAAAAAAGGTTAAATAATTATCCCATGACCAACTTTTGGAAACTAGCTAATTTTATATATAGATCATCTTAATCTGGTCAAGTTCACACCGATCGATTTCAACATGGGGTAGGGGCGATCCGTTAAAATAATGGATTGGTTCTGGCTAGGTAGTTCCTTCTTAATTATAATTAATTAATAACATTAACTATTGCCATAACTTTTCGTGGGGAGTGGGGATATTAATTTCAAAGTAAATCCAATAGTGTTTATAAGCGCACAGCAATGGTGAAGAAATTTAATTTTGATGAGTAATCTAATCATGATAGGTTCGATTCTTGAGATGAGTGTAGAGAATGCAATATAGATTGGACGGTTAATTTCTTTAGTATAAATCTAATGTTTGAGCTGAACTTCTTGGTGATAACATTTAGGAACTGGATCTCAATACTGTTCGTTGGTGCCTCCATCGTTTTAATTAGCATATTATTTATTCCTAAATCTTGATTATAACTGAGATTACGCCTTAAGAGTATACTGTTGGGAAAATACTTATAATATCCATGTGCACATCTCGACCGGCAGGCTTCGGTCAGCCACATCACAGAACTGTATAATAATTTAATAAAGACAATTACTTGATTTCAAATTTGCTAAAAGCAATGTCATTTCGTAGATCAGTAGTCAAATTGAAACAATTATATTCGCATAAAAAGTCAAAAAGCTGTGGCTGTTTGATCAATACGCGGCAGCCAATGAAAATAGAAGAAGAGAAAATACAATAAATTAAATCCATCTAACTTTCAAAATTGCATGTCAGTCTCAAATTTCTTTTTCAAACTTCTAGATCATATGTGATGTGATATCTACTGTGAAAAGCAGAGGAGAGTAGATAAGTTTAGGTGAGGCAAGTATAATAAAATAATCAAGAGAATATAAAATAATGCTTTTCAAATTACCTTTTCAACTATTTGATTTATAAATTTATAAATTTTGGTTGTTTATATGTTTTTTTTTTTTATATAATCAACTGGTTTGTTTATATGTATTCCATAACTAATATATATACACAAACTAGGTTAATGTCAACCATTTTAGTCCCTCCTGCAAAAGAAAATTGGATTCGGAATAGTTAGTGCCTTCAAATTGAATTACTTTAGTCTTCATTCTTGCCGAAATTGAAGCCATTGATTTGTAGTTGTAGGTCCCAAATTATTTATTGAACTATTAGCTGTGTAGATGGTGATAGGATGAGCCATCCAAAACACACGGCATGATTCAACTGCCGGCCATAGAAAGTTAGAAATTAATTATAGCTATCCACTCTCTGAAAATCTATGAATTGAACATGTTATTTTGTACAAAATTCTGTTACTTTGCTTGATTTTTTTCCAAAACCAATTGCCAAATGCAAAGAGTTTCTTAGCTTTTTGACACTTTTTTCCTCGTACAAGTACTTTCAGGACTTTTTCCATGTTTTATCATATCGAATCCACTAGACCAGTTGCCCCATATCAGAAGTGCTTTTTCATCTTATCTCTCAAAATGGAACTAGAAAAGGACAGGTACGCTTTTGGTCCATGGAGCCAGTGATGATGATAGATGAATGAATGGAGTCAGTGTACTGTATGGACCAGTCACGGCTCTTTGATTCTTGGCAACAACAACAAAAATTACGTTGTTCATGATTTGTGTTGAACATATGATCCTTTCCCCTAAGAAAATCTGATTATTCCTCACGGCTTAATGATTTTACAAAAAAAATGAGAATTGAAATTTCTTCTAGAACAAGTTCTTAAGAGTAATGATTTTACAAAAAAAATGGTTTTGGATAGGTTCAATGTGATTTTAATCAACAAAAGTAATGGATTCATTAGCTACAATTAAATTAGTCTCTGCAAGAAAAAATATTTTTAAAAAAATGGTAGCAATTACTATCCAGAGTGAATTATTGATTGATACATTTGTTTGTCTGTCTTCTAAATTGGATCGATGATTTATTTCAAATGGTGATGTAGAAAATATGAAATTTTCAAGAACATTTTGACCAAAGGAGCTTAACAGTTTGATGAT